AATGGTAATAGGGCTGGAGAATGATAAGATCAGAATTTTGCTTTCAGATAATTAATCTGGAAACATAGTCCAGGATGGATTTGGGGTTGAAGAAGGCTAGCACTAGGAAGATCAGCTAGAAGGCTATTGCAGTCATCCAGGTAAGAGATATGATAATAGGAATGGAAAGGTAGGACTAGTGTAAGAAGTTATTACAGAAATGAATTGTTATGATTACTCAGATCCAGAGGCTACAAGGAAAGGGTATTGAGTGAGAGGAAATTTGTCCACTTAATCGGAAGCCTAAGAGCCAATCCATCAGATGAAGTTGTGCGATATCTTACCCGTTCACTTATATGTTTTTCCTCCTCTCAGGTAAACTGCCAGTCCTAAAAATTACAGTTACTCCTCAGATCTCTTCAGACACCTTCAGATCTATTTGGAAACATAGTAAGAAACCAAGTGTTACCCGTAAAAAGAAGAAGAAGGTAGGCTCCTGAATATCTGTGTCGGTGAATACCAGCTACCAGGAGGCTGTATGAAGCCTGGGCACTAAGCTGGAATAGAGGGGTCCTCAGCAGTGGATTTTGCTCTTGATAAAATCATGAGTATTTTGGTTCAAATGTGATGTTTCCTTAAATCATAATTCTATTCTGATGGATGATGATTGTACCAAAGGACAAGTAGTAAGACAACAACATAGCTCTCAAAGATTAGCCCTGCCTCCCCTTTTCAATGCCCCCCACCACCACCCAAATCCTGGTTTCTGTTAGCCTGTTGTGAATCGGAAATGAAAATTTACCTAAACTCTTTGAAGTGCGTGCTGCCGCAGGAGGATAAGGGATTATGTATATTTACTCTCTACTGTGTGGAGTTGAGCTTCCCTTTTTCTTTTTTAATTTGTGATTTTTTTGTTCATTATTTCACAGGCTAAAAACTGAATGTGGATACTGTATTTCCATAAGGAGGCTACCGTTTCTATGGTCAACCAGAGAGGCCTAGAAAGATATTGATTATTCTATAACAGTTTTCACAATAACCAAACCCCTTTCAAGTTCTAAAATTTGATGACTATTTTTGAATATTCTAAGTAGTGTTGATTTTATCACCCTTATTTTCTTCTAAAATTCAGGTTTCACATGCAGGTCTTAGTAAAAAACAGATATTTAGGATTTTTCTTGTGCATATGATATTTAGAATTTGAAGGAAGGCCATTATCTTTATCTAAGAAAGAATCTTTATCTGTGGTTGGGAATAGGATGTTTAAAAATAATAACCACCTTCACTGATTCCCAAGTGAGGAAGTTTCTGATTTCTCTTGCCCCTCCCCCTGGATGTCATACAGTTCTATGGGAAAATGAAAGATGTGGTTGGGTTGATGCATGGATGATACATTGAGCTGGTTGAATTTTATATGACATGAAAATATGATGCAGGGATAAAAAGTATGAACTGGGAACTTAGATGAACCAGAATTTTCCATGGAAAACCTGGTGTTTTCCAGATATGTGACCTCTGACCGGTCAATTATTATGCCTCAATTTCTCCTTATGTAAGATACAGATAAGGATAGCACCTATCTCTTTTCATGAGATGACGCCTATCAAGCATTTTAGATCAGTATCTGTCGCATAGTATGTGCTCAAAAATTTTTTTGTGGCTCTTGTTTTTGCTGTTATTATTATTGATGTTAGAAATGAGTGATTCCAATGATTCCACTTAGGACAGTTACACAAGATAAATAAAAAGAAAAAAGATTTAAGACCTCTTCATTTTGAAGTTTAAAAAAAACAAACCCTGTCATTCATTCTATGCATAAATATGCTGGCAAGCTGATGGAACCAAGCTAACTATGGTGGTAGAAATGGATTTAGTCGATTATGTTCACTCTTAAGGCTCTTAGCATGTAGCTAGGAAGACAAGATCCTTGTACTTTAAAAGTAAACAGTAGACCCTAAAAGTTGAAATATTATAAGTCATGAGGCTGAGTAAGGAAGCTTATACAATAGTAATTTAACAAATTGCCATATAATATATCAGGACTCTTGAGAAACTGTTAATTTTTTTAAATGAACTTTATTGAGATTTACCACTGACCTTTAGTAGGTGGGAGTGCAAAATCTGTGTGCCTCTTTAGGGGTCTTTTGGCAATATCTATCAATATCTATCAAAAGCTAATGATAGGGGCCTCCCCAGTGGCGCAGCAGTTGAGCGCTGGGTTGCCAAGCTGCCCGCAGCCTCTGCAGCGCTAGTTCAATCCCCGGCTGCTCCCCGGCCACCGGAGGAGGGTCCCACATGGCGCTCAGTCCTCTCCTGCTGCCCGCTGCTCCCCTCAGCAGTGTACTTCGGTCCTTCTGCCTGCTCTGCTCCCCGCTCTGGCTCTGGTGAATTCTCTCACCCTCCCGCGCTTCTGACTGTACCCAGTGCTTGTACAAATAAATAAATAAATCTTTAAAAAAAAAAAAAAGAAAGCTAATGATAAATATATAGCTTTTGACCCACTAGTCTTCTTTATTAGCTAGCAACCATTTACAGCCATCTCTGCTCAGATGTGTTGCTGTTTAATATGAACAGAATGTGTTTTTATGGCTTATCTGAGCTTGTTTATAGGCATTTTTTGTCTGGCTCATAAAGTTAGTGAGGTCAGATTCATGTCCGCCATCACTGCTGCAACTGCTCTGCTCCTCCAGGTTTCCTCTCTTCACTCACTTTCTGGACTGAAGGACCTCCTTCTACCCCTCAGTTCAAATCCCAGCTCTTCCAAAAGGTTTCCCCTCATGGTTTCCGTCCTCAAGAATGTGGGTCCCTCACTGTATTTAACACAGCATACAACACACAGCACATATTAGCTTGTGGCCAAATATGACCCTGTGTCCATATTTATTTTTGTACATATTTGTACACCCTTGACTCCTCTTAGACTGCTTGAGTCTTCATGAGGAGAGGCCCAGCAAGACGTGGGAGACTCAACCCCAAACCGGGCACAGTGGTCGTCCACCACTAGGCGGTGGTGAAAATCAGACATCTTAAGGCTTCTTGTGCCTTATCTTTTAAATGGAGACATTGTCTGGCTTTGCTTCAGAAAACATAAAAATTTGACCCTAAGCTAGCAATAAAAGAACCATGGTTTCAAAATGGTTTTAAAACTGGTTCCAAAGCCTTCCTGTAAATAGCAATGTGCTGTGTAAGTTTACTCACTTCTCTGGACCTCATTACTCCTATAAAAAGGAGGTTAAACTAAAATAAGAGGTTTTCAGTGTGGTCACAGGGTGCCTGGGGTCCATTCAGGGAACCAAGAAGGTTAAAAGTATTTGCACAAAAATATTCAGCTATACCTCTCTCTTCACTCTCTTTGACTGTACAGAGTTTTCCAGAAACCACATAATGTGATGTCATTGTTCTAAGGAGAACTTGTAATAGATTTAGTGTTTTTACTTTATAATTATTTGAAAATAAATTAACATTTAAAAATTTCCCTCAGTTTTAATTTCTTAAAAAGCATATATAGGCAAGAGGGAGAGAGAGAGAGAGAGAGAGTGTGTGTGTGTGTGTGTATGTTATGCTGTCTCATATATATATATATATAGTTCTTTAAAGTGCTAGTAATTATTAAGTATAAAGAGGTCCAGAGACTGATGAGATCCCCAGGCTGTTGAGAGACCCTGGAGAGCCTTGACTTAGAACAGGAAAGATTTCTTGGGGAAGTCGGAGTAAGTAGGTAAGTGAGCTTTATTGCATGCAAGAGTACACAATCAAGAGTGTGGCAGATTCAAAAATCTTGCCTTGGTATGGAAACAACCCAATTGCCCAAGAATAGATGACTGGATCAGGAAGATGTGGTACATACACACAATGGACTATTACTCAGCAATCAAAAAGGATAAACACATGCAATTTGCAGCAACATGGATGGAGCTGGAAGGGATCATGCTCAGTGAAATAAAACAGAAAGAAAAAGAAAAATACCGGATGGTCTCACCCATAGCAGGAATTTAGAAAACCTAAATAAGGGACCAGGAAAAAGACTAATTATAATAAAGTAGAAATCAAAATCAACAAGCAACTATGGACCAGAGACACACTGGGGGGAGGAGAGGAGGGAATGGGGACAAAATAAGAAGGGTGGGAGTTACATGGGGAATACAACCAGAATGAAAATGGATACATTGTGCAAAAATGAAAAATTATGTAAGAATTATATAAAATAAAATATAAATATAAATATATAAATAAAAATTGTAGGCTAAAATATAAAGAATCTTGCCTTGGGTCTTATGTTTGCTTATAGAAACACTTGCTTAGTTTGAGAGGACAGGGGTTTACATATAGGGCTCTCACCAGTTTTGTTTAACAAGACCACTGGGCCATAATATTTCTGTAGGTTGAGTAAGATAGAAGTTTTACAATCAACAGTGCAGAGCATAAGCTCAAGGGTCTAAGCCAGTAGGATTTGGATCACCTTGCCCTGGAAGGGGCACAGACTTTGATTGTTACTGGGTGGGTGCTGGAGGGGTGCTGCAGCCTCTGAAATTCCTGTTCTACCCCTGAACCGCATTTTTAGAAGCGCGTCAATCATTCATTCATTCAACAAGTGTCTCCTGTGCCCAGGCATTTTTTTAAGCTACCGAGAATAAGGTGGTGACAGAGGCGCGGTGCCTGCTCTGAAGGAGTTCACACTGGGAGAGACATATATTAACAAGATAATTCCTGAGAGCCTTGGGTGTCATGAAAGATGAAGCAGGGCGCGTGGCTCCGGCGCCGTCGCCGCGCCGGCTTTCACCACAGGGACACTGGGCAGCGCCACGGCCCGACCTCAGGAGACTCGCCCCCCGGCCCTCCGCCCCGCAGCAGCCGCAGCGCGCCGCCGGGAGCAGAGGGGCGGGGGAAACACGTCCGGGCGCTGGCGTCGGTGACGTCACTGGGCCGCGCCCGCCAATCGCGGGCTGTCCCCGTCGTAGGCTGCGCGGGGACCCGCGGCCTGCAGGCGGCGCTGTGGCCCGTGGGGCGGCCCGGACAGCCGCCATCGCCGCCCGCCTCCCCGGGCCCAACGTCTCCGCCGCCGGCTCCGCGCCGCCGCCATGGCCGACGTGGAAGACAGCGAGGAGTCCTGCGCCCTGTCCTCTCACTCCGGGAGCGCAGGCTCCAAGTCGGGAGGTGACAAAATGTTCTCTCTCAAGAAGTGGAACGCGGTGGCCATGTGGAGCTGGGACGTGGAGTGCGATACGTGCGCCATCTGCAGGGTCCAGGTGATGGGTAAGCGCTGCACGCGAGGCCCGGGCCCCACTGCGGCCTCCGCGGGGCCGGCTCCGGGAACGGGACGGGCGAAGGCTCGGCGTGACCCTTCTGCCCGGAGGAGGTGGGGGCGGGGTTCGCCCTGCCCGGGAGCGGGAGGACCGGGGGCCACGCCCGTGGTGGTGTCGGTCCGAGGACGGCGGCCGCCAGTGTCCCGGGGGGTCGCTCAACAGGCGCCCAGCTCGGGGGCTGGCATTCTAGGGAGTGAAACGGCAGTAGGCAGAGGAATGAAACAAGGTAATTTCAGGTAGAGATGGGAATGACCAAGAAAATAAAACTGGGTGAGTTGATGAGTGCGAAGAGGAACCACTTGGGTCTGTGCGGCCAGCCCCGGACCCATCTCTAAAAGCAAACCGCGACGGCGTCAGAGGAAAGGCCCTGTTTGCAGGACACTTGAATGCTGTGGTCACGGAAGTGGTGCTCTGGAGTCTTTTTTCACAAAAAGGACATAGTTATGCCCTCGAGAGACAGGGAAAGGAAGTGTCTTTAGCCATTGCCTGTCTGTATCAGTTACTGTTTTTTCTGCTCGCTTCTAAATGTGGGTGATTCAAGACATTTAAGATTGGTGGGAATTGAAGAATGTCAGCCTTTATTCGGAAACGTAAAACTTTGCCTTCCTGCCCACTACGTACCCATCATAGGATGCCATTTCCTGGAGAAGATAACGATACTGTCCTGCTCTGCGTCAGGCCTTTGTGGAAAACTTTCTCTTACAAATGTGTCTTACTATATTCTATGATATATTGAATTTAAATGTTGGACTAAGTGAAATCGTTCGTCCCTTTTACTTTTTGTGGTTTCTGTTTTGACATTTCATTTTATTGAAAAAGAGCTGCTGTTTAAATGCAAGACGTATATTTTTTAAAGGTCATTTAAAACTGTGAGCACATCTTACGGTTTCTATAGTTTGAAAACGTTCCATAGTTTCAAACTATAAGAGAATTGTTCTCCCTGGAGGGATAAAACTGTAAACCTACAAAAAGAAAGAGATTTCTCTATTCGCACTCTTTCAGTATGCTATCTTTGAGTTTATTTTTTACTTTTGAAAGAACTTGATTTCAGACCATATCCATTTATTTGCACATTAGATTTTGAAAGTGTACCTAGTAAGCAGTATAGCCCCTTTCCTCACCCCTTCAGAATTAGAATCAGTTTCCACTTTGGGTGGTGTTTTTTTAATCCAGGCAAAAAAAATTTGTGCATGTGTTTTGTTTTTGTTGTTACAGGATAAGCTTTACTGAAAATTTTATCCACTAAATTCCCTTTAACCTAAAAATAAGAATATTTTCTAGAAGGCATTTTATTTCTTCCTCCAAAGAAAAAAAATTTAATAATAAATAGAAATGCAGAACTTGAAATGATGGCTGAGGTTTTTTAACAAATAAACTTTACAGGAATATTTAAAGTAAGTCAAAGTAAAAGCTATAAATAGCTCAGATTCACATTTACTTTCTAATTCCAGCCGAGTATTCTGCTACAACAGCTGTACTTTGGGTTCAGGAAAGTATTCTGAACTAGAGCTTTGGAGGTGTTAAAATCACTTAGTGGCCAGGTGAAGCAGAGAAGGGAGTTGTTTTTCAGACTTCCCAATTCTTTCCCTAGTATCATTGTAAACGTATTGCTGTTATTGTACTCCTCAGAAATGTATTGTTTTAGATATTAGGAACATCCCCAAGAAACTTAATTTGAAACTTTAGGAATTTTTATTGATTTAAGCCAATTTTTGATAATGAACTTAAACCAAAGCTATATTGGTTTATATAATTCAGATTGTTAGAGTCTACATAACGAGCCCTCTGATTCTATTACCCAAATAATTCTAATTTGGAATTTGTCCCACATACCTAAATGATTTATTGTGATTTTTTTGATCCAAGCTTTGTTGGCCCATTTTGGTGTAATTGAAAAGGCTTCCTGGTTTCCACTCTCTTCCCTTCATTCTGAAGGGAGTACATGGCATAGTGAGCAGGTACTGATGAGAAAGAGGAGAGTAGATTTGCTAGTACTGCCCAGTTATAAAGAACCAGAGTAACTCATCATTACGCTATGTTAACTTGGATATTTGACATAACTTTGGAGCCTTATGATCACCAACTAGTTCTGTGAATGGTCAGAACTAGAGTCATGTCTTCGCTGTTGTATCTGGATCCTTATGGCGTGTAGCTGTTTGCCTATCTACTTCTCCATTTCCTGGTGGATTAGGAATCAGACTTGGACATTTTGGTGTTCCCAGTATATAATTTCTTGCACAAGGTCGATGCTTAGTATTTGTGGAATTGCATAAAGCCTCAGGAGGCAATGGTTGTTTTTAATCCACACTGAAGAGGCCAGGCTAGGCCTACTGTGAGGCTGGGAGGAGGAAAAAAAAATGCCTACTCACAGTCCAGTATAATAAAAGAAGCAGGCTTCACCTCTACCATGTGTCTGTTTTTTACAGAATTATTTTTCCCCTATTTATGTTAAAAACTTATTTTTACCCAACTATCTTCTCTTCAGCCAGTGAATGAAACCATTTCATTGGCCCCTAAAAAATTCTGCATTACCTCCTTCATCAAGTAAACCGAAGTACAGATCAAATTTTGAAAATGTCTACTTTATTCTTTAGGTTTCTGTTCCCAGTGTTTATTCCCAAGTAATTTATTAAAATACTTTGCCATTGTTGGATAAATACTTTGGATTCAGACTTACATGTTAAGGGAGCATTTTTCTTAGAAAGAATGAAGAACCTACTATGTGTGTTGGGGGGAGTTAATTTTGATTTTGATAGAGATTATGCAGTCATTTAGTTCAAATTTTTTTTAAAGTAAACAGTAAAAAGTCCTATTTCTGGTAGACTTCAGTATTAGTTTCTGGCTATCCTTCTAGGGTTTCTGTAAGTATGTGTAATATACATGGCTTATTTAAAAGGGAGTCTTGAAAGGAAGCTACTTTTAAGGTTGAGCTATGTGAGTGAACTTACGATTACTTCTAATATAGTGGAGAATAGCATTGTTTTCTCTGGTGATTGCCTCTACTCTCAGGACGTCTATCAGAGTTTGTAAAAATGGAGGGTTGGTAACCCTTATGAAATTGCTCCTGGTCGTAAGTAAGTTAGTAGAGTACCTTTTACTTTATTCATCTTTAAACAGTTATGTTCAAATGAGAAATAGTATGAGTCTTTTATCTCCATCTCTAGCCCTTTGGGCTTTTATTTGACTTTGAAGAGTCTGGGTTTTTAAAAATTGCTTTTTGAGCATCAGAATGAGAATTGCTATTTGTTTACTTTTAGATGCCTGTCTCAGATGTCAAGCTGAAAACAAACAAGAGGATTGTGTTGGTATGTTGTAATTTTGTTCTCTTGCTTTTTCAACTGAAGGTTTTCTCTCAGTGGGGATGTTTGAATTTGCAATTAAGATTGACTTTATCAGTACACAAAAATAAACTGTAAAGTAGTGATCCATTATTAATGTAAAATGTGTTGGTTCTCCAAAACCTTTGATGGAATTATTCTGCAGGTCCTTTTATTGCCTATAATTAAGAAGAATGCTTATATATTCCAGACATGGCTATAGTAAACATTTCAATAATCAATAAAGATATAATTCTTGTCTAGTAGGAAAATTATAAGGAATTTGCCAAGACCTTAAAATTTTTACCATGTTATTGGTCGGGTGGTAGGATTTTATTCTAATAAAGCATTTCTGTTTGCAGTACTTTTTTAAGGTAACAGTATTTAATTTTTCAACTTTGGTAGAAAAATTCTAAGTCTCAAGATTATTTTAGCATATAGTTTGTATATGGAATTCTGTTATGTCCCTTATTGTCTGGAACTAAGAAAGTTGTCTTAGGCTAAATATTTTAAGCAATTCAAAGATTTGTATTTCCTAGTTCTTGAGGTCTTCACTTCTACATTGCTATATATAGAAGGGTTTAAAAGTTATCGTGGAAGAGAGGCTGACTTTGTATTTGTGTTTGCATTGTTTATATACAGCATCTTAGTAAACATTTACACAGTATTTTAAACAGTAAAAATTTAAGCAGTAAATCCTGTTTCTTCCTCCTTAAACATTTAGAATTTTTCCTCCTTCCTGCCCCCACAGTCAGTTTTCTTAAGGTTTTTTTTTTCTCTTTGTTTCTATTTCATGTATTTTATTGTTCTGTTACCATATAACTTAGTTGGTGAAGCAAAGGACAAATGAAGCCCATGTTTGAGATTGTGTTCCAGGTTGTGGGAGATTACCCTTGGTTTAAAACTTTTCATTCATACTGCTTTTTAAAAAAAATTAATTTGGTATTGTGCTGTAAGTCGGCTTTTTTTTGATCACAGAGGGACCTCATTTGCCTTCATTCGTTTGTCACATAAGTAATGACACTGATTGTGGATGACACAACAAAATTCATGACCACTACTAGTAAACAAGTAGGTATTTGTATAGTTGATAATGTATAGAAGCTTGTCATCTGCTTCTCATAGCCTTCTGTGACCTGGAAAGATTTAAAACTCATTATAAGGTGGTAAGTAAAAACAGGGAGGGCATTTTTTTATAAAATAAAATCCAAGTGGTCTTTAAGGGTCAAGTGTGTGACTGGAAAAGTCTGGGATCTGAGGACGACTCTAATCCTTTAATCTCTAGCTTCAGTAAGACAGTATGTGGAATTATGTGGTACTGGAGACAAGGGCATCACCCATAGGTTGTAGAACAGTGATGAAAAGTCCCTCAAATGCAGTGCCTTCTCTCATTTCTTAATTGTAATTTGCACATTTAAGTGTCTATTTCTTTATAAATAGAAAAAAATTATTTAGACCAATTAACTGTATTCAGGATTATGGGCTGTGACGATTATTCATAATAAAATAAACTATAATTTGAGCTCAGTAGTTTAAATTGAAATATGTAATACCAGATACTCTTTTTTTCCTTTCAGTCGTCTGGGGAGAATGTAATCATTCCTTCCATAACTGCTGCATGTCCCTGTGGGTGAAACAGAACAATCGCTGCCCACTTTGCCAACAGGACTGGGTGGTCCAAAGAATTGGCAAATGAGAATGGTAGAAGACTTTCTTAATGCAATTGTTTGAAGCCCTGGTGGATCTTGTTATCAGACATCCTCAAAGACTAGAACACTCCAGGGGACTTAATTCTTCAAATAGACAAAGATGAATCTGGTCCTTTGGACTCATCAGAGGCAAGGTTTTTAGCATTTTGTCTGTTTTATCTTAAGAAATTCTCTACAGTTAGGAAGATAATTTATTAAAGATGGCCTTTCCTACCTCTATCAAGTACTTTGAAGTGCTATAAAGGAGGAGAGAACTACAAATTAAATGAACTTTATAATTTACTTATTGATAACCAAGGGGCTATGGAAGCAGCTCTATTCAGAAGAGAGCTTTTTGCATGCTTATGATTGGTTGATGAGTTATTAAAAAAGCAATATTATAGTAACAAATAAAGTACAGTTTAAAACTCAATTCTTATCCTTAATTTCTTCTTAATATTTATTTTTGGCGGGAAGGAGGACGATTCATGAAATCTTTATTTGCTATGATAATTTTAAGTTTGAACAGTAAACAGGGTAAATAAAATTTAACCTTTGGGCTAATGGGATTTCAATGGTCTCTTAGGTCATCATCTTTTATCTTCGAATTATGAAGAAAAGTAGGTCTATATTCACCTCACTGTTCAATCATTGAGTGGTAAAAGAAGTATTTTCAAGTTCTGCTCAGATTAGGTTGTAATTCAGCTGTGATTTAGTTGGAATGTTAATGAGGGAAAAATGTTTACCACTGTAGCATTGGATAAAAAAGTTTATTTTATTATACAATGGTTTAATAAATGTTTTGTTCTGTTTGTTTCATTTGAGCTATTGTAGTTTTATATGTAATATTTAATGTTAGTTTAACTGGTTGCCAAGTGAATGCTTCATTTATTTTGAAAAAAGTATATACCTTTCATTTAGTAACAATAAAATGTAAAATTTATTATCTGGAAGCATGTAAGTGCCAGAAAATAACTTAAATTTTATCAAACTCATTCACATTTAATGGAAGCTATTTTGTAACAATTTAAAGTTTTTCATAATAGAGGCTACTGCTATGAATTAAAAAAATTAAAATCTTAACCATTCACTTCTGTTGTTTCAAAATTTGCCAGTCAGAATCTTAAAAGCCAAAAAAAAAAAATCTCAAAAGTCTAAGGAATGTTGACACACAGAACAATGTTTTTTTTTTTAATGTAATAGCAGATTAGAATTCTGTGGTTTTGCATTGACTACTATTAATCAGATTTCTCTGGATATTTTTGCTTTATATATATTTTCAAAATTGTCAACTGAAAAAATGAATTGTTTGACAATTTGAATGTGTTTATCATTGTGCAATGAAATATTTTAGCAGCTTTTTGTTTGACCTTTTAAAAAGGTTGTATCCATAAAATGTGAACCAAGTATTTGGCTTTGCAGTAAAGAGAGAAATAGTAAGAATGTCGAGTTATTTTAGTCAGTATGACAGTATGTGAATGAAATGTGAAGGATGGTGGTAATAAATTGATTTCCCACTCAGCAAAAGTACATGCCCACCACCTAACAATGCTCTGTTTCTATTCTACATCAGCTTCTGAGGGTAGAGGAGCGGGGGAACTGGGACAAAGGGGGGAACTGGGACAAAGCACCACTGAGCCTGCCCATCCTGGGATGTTATCAGCTCATCTGCATAACCATCTGAAAGTTTAGTACATATTGTTTCATCAGAAAGAACACACTATGACATTTAATTATGAGTTCCTCTGCAAAAGTTAAGCATTGAGAAGGTTTTTCTTTCCATTTCATTAAGTGATGTTGGATTTTATTTTACTAGTGTTTTAGAAAAGGAGTGTATTGTTAGCAATTTAATTTTCCATCCATGCAAGATACATTCTTTCTGTTGTTGCTTTTGTTTTGTTCTTTATCTACAAGTTGCATCCTTGTGACAACTGACATCTAAGTCAGTAAATCTCACCCTGTTAAACCCATTGCTTCCCTTATATTAAAAATATGTTCCATTTTCTATACTGAAGTGAGAAATTCATAAATGTCTGCACACAATTAAAATGTATAATTAGAAATAAAATAATTTATTCATTTATGTTTCAGTATGTAAATGCTTGGGCATAGTTACTCAAAAAGACATAATGAAGTAGTCTGAGGCATATGTAGAGGTGTGTGTGATCACTCCATGTGGACAACAATGTAGACTGTTGAGACTCAGAAACACGAAGTGATTTCCATTGATGATACTTTGTCCCTCCAAGATGATGAATATGCTTAGTAAAGTTCTCAACCAGCGTACAATCTTTTGGTTCACATGTTAGTTACACAATTGTAAACTTCAGTGAATTTTAAAGATGTGTGAAAGAACTTAAAGATGTTCAATGAATTTTAAAGATGTGCAAAAACTGATATGTTAAAAGAAGTTAGGTTGTAAAATAATCTAAAAATTTTTTTAGTACTTAAATAGACATTCTAACATTACACAGGATACTGAATTATATTTCATCGTGTGAGACCCTCATATATTACAAGACACACTTTACTAGACCCACCCCAAATGTCAGTGGTGCCATCAATATTTGTGCTATCCAAAGAAAACTCAAATTTCTAAAACAACCTCTTTCAAGGTGGAATTGGCTTATGTGGAAGCAGTGATTTAAATGCTTATATGGGCTATTACCATATACACCTTGCCACAGTCGCCCAGAAACATTTTAAAATGGCACAGTACAAAATACCTTCATTAAAAGGTGCAAAGGGTTAGAGTGCTCTCCTAAAAAAGAGGTCATACAGCCAAATCTTGCTGACTTGTGCACTCTTCTCCAGAGGTGTGAAAACTCTTAAAATAGGGTTTGATACCTAGTACACACACTGTTGGTGAATATTCCCTGGGTAGTCTTCCAGGCCTTCAGAATTGTTTCATTTAACTTAATCTAAAGTAGAACTCTTTAGAATCAGGGAAAAAATTAAGTTCCTTTATAATTTAGTAGACGACTTATAAAGTAGACTTTATAAGTTTAATAGCTAGGTAGCTATTAATAAAATAGAGTATTATAAAAATACTTTGATGTTTAAATTACTACCAAAGTCTAACTGAGTGATGAACATGGTATGTTCTGAAGGGAAAATTAGGTGTGTTTAGTAAGCCCTTATTTAAAAAATATTTTAAGAAAAAATATTGCTGATATAAAATATTACTGATTTGGATAGAAGGAAAATTGGAATTAAAGTACAAGTGTATTTTTTAAATAAGCTATTTTTTATTGAACATTTAAATATTATGACAAAAATACATGAGAGATGTTTGCGTAGAACTTTTGCCATTTTTATATCGTTGGGTTTAGTCAACAAATAGGTCTTAGGGGGAAAGTATTTTGACGCTCAGCTAAGTGGCTGACAGTTGAGTGTCTAGAGCCAAGACACCTAGATTTGAATCCCAGTGCCATCACGCCCTCAGATACCTCATGTACAATGTAACACCTACCTCTGGCTCATTTTGAGGACTGAAGACTAAATGGATTAATACACACAAGACACTTGAGAAAAGTTTCTAGCACATAGTAAAGGCTACTGTTACTTCGTTTTAGTCATTTTCGGAAGTTCCTGAAATAGAAATGTCCCTTTAAAAATAATGTGTTTTTAGAGGTGGGGTAAAGCACTCCTATTCTCAAAAATTTGAAAGAACATTAATTGTAAACATGTTAGATTACTTGTAGGGCTGTGAGGTTCTGCAAAGGATTGTAGCGCCTTAACGTCTTGCCTGTTACTAATTTGTCAACATGATTTCCAGATTGTCTATTAAGAAAAGGCTTAGTAAATGTTGAGTTCTCGTTTTAATTTTAGCTTTTCCATCTTAGCATGAAATTCAGGGGTATATTTTTGGACCACTGATTTTGGAGATAGTCATCTGATTTTAAAAATTAATCTTTCTTTTACAACCTTTAGAGCAGGCATTTCATTTATAATCAGCCTGCTGCTTTTTCTTATCTATGCACTTGATAAACCTGAGTCAGTGGTTAGAACCTGTTTTTTCTAGGTTGGCTGCCAGCAGACTTTCCCTGGGTTATCTATAGCTGTGAAACAGCATAGTGTAAGGCTATAATTTGGGAGTTCCTCTGCCAGATTTGGAATTTTGACTGTCATTTACCCGCTGTGTGATTGTGCACAAAATCGTTAACTTCTTGGCTTAGTTCTGCAAATTAAGTGGGAGTAACTTTACCTACCTCATAGAGCTGCTGTGAAGATTAAATGAGTTAATAATACATCTTAACTGACCTATGGCAGTGCCTGAAGCAAATGCTCAGTAAATATTAGCGATTATTATAGATCACTACTGTATTTGCTGAGCTCTGCCTTCATTCTAGAATGGCCTTTTTAAAAAGTGTATTATTTGCAGTGGTGCTCCTTGTGTAGCCACAAACTGAAGAACTGTCAGCATGAGCTTTTAAGAGTGTTTTTCAGCCTTTTTTAACTGCCTAAAAACCACATTCCCCTCAGCCACAATGGGCTTACCCACATGGTTCCTAAAGTTGTGTGTGCATAAACAACAGGGCAGAGAAGAGAGTTGGTAAAAGTTGCCCAGATGAAAATCTCGGTTACTAAATGTTGGAACTAATTAGGCACAGACAAAAATGTTCTATGCTATATGCATCTTATCCTAGCTTCCAAGGAGATACCTCCTTAATACTTAAACTACTGAGTCATGTAGAAAATGCAAATGACTTATTTGCACCAAACGTTTAGAGTAATCAAATTCTTGCCATGAATGTGACTTTATAAATACAAAATATCTATCTAGCATAGAATAGGCTTTGTGCGCTTGGTATAATTGTCATCTAACTCATCCATCTTCATTGTAAATTAACCTCTGCTATACTAATTCCTGCTCTGCCTTTTCTAATTTTTATACAAATTTATAGTTTACATTTTAATAAGAATTTATTATTTATTGCTTGCCTATATATATATATATATATATATATATATATATATGAGGTTTTGCCATCATTGTAGAAAGAATTTAAATACAAATAAGCTATCTATAGAGAAATGCAGTATCTGGTTAGGGCTTGTTAGCTGTACAACAGAATAGAAATGTAGCAAAGCTTCTAAAAGACATTCCTCAGGCACACAATCACTACAGTATACACAGTATATGGCTACAAGAAGCATTTCTTGTGTGGATTATGAGGACCCTGTTTCTATTTTATTTAACAATATGCAGTATGTCTGTGTTCCATAGCATTTTGGGGAGAGGAGGGTGTCTCTTTGAAATATATTGCCCACTTTGCTCCCACTTCCTTTCAATTCCACTCCTCATACCCTTATGCCCACATAACCTTTGCCTGTTTATAACCTTTACAGGGCAAGCAATGGGTCTACCTGTTGACAGCCCTCTTAAAGAAGAAAATAACATTTAAAATCACTTTTTGTGGTATAGATCTAAAGGTAACTACTGACCACATATAGGTTTTGTTTTGGGTTTTTTTTACATAGAAGAACTGGGATATAGACCAGAGGTCAAGGGTAGGTGAGTGAGGGGATTCACCAGAGACAGAGTCGGGAGCACAACGGGCAGATCTAATGAAATATGCTGCTGAGGGGAGCAATGGACGAGACAGGAGAGGTCTGCTGTGCCATGTGGGTCAGAGCCATGGCCGGGGATTAAACTCAGGCCATAGTAGTGATAGCAATAAGACTTAACCCCTGCACCACCAGGGAGGCCCCACATACAGATCTTTTAATCAATTGAAATAAAATTTAAAATTCAATCCTGTAGTCAAATTAGCCACATTCCAAACACTCAATAGTAATGAGGCAATTGGATATCACAGAGTAGGACATTTCTACATTGAAGAAAGCACTAGACAGTGCTGGGGTAGATCAGCCTTTTATAGATCTACTCTGTCAGAATTTAAAAATCATGGACCCTCAGTTACATTAGATTCTCTTTTAAATGATTTTTCTACCTTGGGTGCATTACGTTGGCATTACCTGATATGGGTAACCAGATATCACCTCAATTAAAAATAAATGGTGGTGGGAATTGTATGGAGACTTATAACCAAGATGAAAACACATACATTGTACAAAAATGAAAAATGATGTAAAAAATATACGAAATTGAAAAACCAAAAATTAAAAAATAAATAAGTTACTTATAAATAAATAAATAAATAAATGGCCTTTCTTCCTTTTCATTCTCTCCAGGGTCTTTGTAGAGGTAGCGACTGGGCCTGACTCACCATGGGTGTTGACAGAGATAGTGCCACATGTGCAGCAATTCCTAGGCCAGCACACACCACATCAGCCCTCTGAGTGAGCTCCCTTGTTGCAAAGGAGGGTTTTTACCCGAGCAGTGGGAGGCAGGTGAACTGAAGATGCCACTGTGAGAGGTTGGTGACCAGTGTAGGGATCATTTGCCACTGGAAGTCTCACCTCCCAGGCGGCTGCCAGGATCGAGTTAGTGAAGGTTCCAGGTGTGAAGCAGCTGGCAACAGGAGTAACCTCAGTGGCAGCCACAAACCATCATAGCTTGCTGGCCACTGTCCTGGAGGACATGAAACTGATGTTAGCCAGGTTTTCAAAGCAACCATGGCATGAACTACCAGCAGAAGTTTCTCCCGGGTTCTCAAGATTTATGATACAGATGCCATCACTTTTCCTTTTATAGATATATTGTTCCATGTAGAAGTCAAGGTTGGTGCCACCCACATGGCTCCTGCTGCATGCTCCTTCTTCATTCACCATATATCAAGGACTCCACACATTTTGAAAGTTTTCCTTCTAGGGATTATTAAGTCAAAAGGAAAAAGAAAAATACAAAATAAGGGATCAGGGAAAAAAATAACAATCTAAAAAAACACAAAACAAAAATAATCAGACAACTATAAATCAGAGACACTGCAGGGGAAGGAGAAGGATCAAAACAAGGGTGGGAGGAGCTCAAGGGACTAAGATGATAGTGCATGGCTGAACTGGTAGTGGAAATTTTATGGGGACTATACCTGATATAAAATATATACAAATAAAGAAATTAATTATATGAAAAAAAAAGGAAGTTTTCCCTTCTAGTTATGATAGGAGCCCAGAGCAACTACGTATGGACCCTGCTCTGAATAGCTGGGAAAGCACAACTTATCATTTTAAACTAAGTTTAAATAGCTGCTTTTGTGTCCTTGATAGATGTATGACAGTAGTTCTTAACCAGGGGTGGTTTGACAATGTCTGGAGATAACTATGATTTGATAGCTGGGGATATGGGTGCCAGTAGTATCTAGTGGGTTGCCCTGTAGTGTACAAGACAGTGACCCCTCCCCACCAACAGAGAATTATCCAGCCCACACTATCAGTGGCACTGAGGCTGAGAAACCCATGTAATTTATATACATTTTGATAATATTTTTGAAGAGTTAGAATTCCCTACTAGAAACTTGCTAAAATACCAGTAATAATAATAGAACTTATCTAGCACTTATGATATACTACATTCTCTAAAAGTTTTATGTATATTATCTCAATTAATTCTCACAAAGATCCTTTTCTATTCTTATAACTTTTTACAGCAAAGGAAACATAGGTACTAAGACGTGGTAAGAACTGAATTTTGTACCCTTCAAATTCATAAGTGAAACCCTAACTCCAATATGATGATATTTGGAGGTCAGGCTTTTAGGAGGTAAGATTAAATGAAGTCATAAGGACAGGGTCCTAATCTGATAGGATTAGTGGCCTTTACGGAGAAAAGATTTCACTCTCTATATTTACTAATAAAGACATGTGAGGATTTTCTAGCCACCAGAACTATGGGAAAATAAATTTCTTTCTCTAAGTCACCCAGCATATTGTTATGGCCATCAGAGCTAAGATACATGACCAAGGTTACAAACTAGTGAATGGAAAACACAACACGAACCAGGCAGGGTGGTTCTAGAATCTATGCTCCTCACCACTAGCTTGTGCTGTTTCAATAGAATGCCTAATTTGAATAAATTTTTGTCCAAAATTGCTTTTCTAAAGTTTGCTCACATATTTCCATTTTCAGCACCATAATACTCCAAGCTAACCTCTTTATTTACAGTTGTGTTTTAGAGCTGTATGTTGTTTTCAACTTCTAAGCCATTTCACTGTATTCTCGTATATTGCTTCCGTATCTGTTCTAAATTCAAATCTTCACATAATGCAATGAGAGTTTATGTTTGTTTTAAAAGAATAAGAGCATATGAAGAGATCATTGGTTAAAATATATATATGTTGTAAAATGTTTGGTGCATTTTTCATGAATGTAACAATATTGGAACAGGTTATTACAGGATTTATCAATGTTTTTTAATTTGGGTCATAAAGTTGATAATAGTGAAAATGTTAGGACTTTCTGCTCACAGAACAGTATAATTATGTGTCAATACTTGGAATTTCTTGGCAAATCAATTATGCACTTAATAAAGGCATAATAAAGAGATAATGGTGGATAATATAGTTAATTTCGTATTTGATACAATATATTCTCAAATGCTAGTGACTCCACTGACAGTACATTTGTCAGCAAATATCAGAAAGCCTGACCACACTCAATTAAGCTGATAGAAGTCCATAACCTCACACAATAAGAAGTCCAAGGCTAGTGCAACTGCCAGGGGCATGAAGACCTGGCCTCTCTCCTTTCTGCTCTTGACATCATCAGCAGGAAGTCTCATTCTCATAATCTCTCCCTCATGGTCCCAAGATGGCTGCTCTATTTTCAGACTTCACAGTCGCATTCTTGGGGAAAAGTGAAGGACAAAAGCACGATTTTGACTTTTCCTTGGGAAAGGTTCCAACCTCCCCGTGTGTTTAGTCTATACCTCATTGGCCAAAATTAAATCACGAAGCCACTTCTAGGTGCAAAGGGAAATAGAAGCTGAAGTATTTGGCTCCCCAACTTTTACAGTAGAGGAAGAAGGGGGGGAATGTATTTAGGAGTCAATGTCGAACGAATCAACCTATATTATCTGGCACAATTAGTATTAACAACAATTGCTAATATGTGTGGAGTTGCTACTCTGTGTACTTTCTTACATGCTCATAGAATTGGAAAAGATCTTAGAGATAATTTTATCTCTGATAATGATATGAAATGATATCTTTGTGTCTCTTTTTAAAATGCTGATTTGTAAAGCAAAAAAAATTAATGGATTTTAAGCACAGGTCTATTATGATACAAATTTGGGTAATCTGAATAAAGGTATTTGTTTCAAAATCTAACTGCATAAAGAAAAAATTATATTTCATAGCTATCACACCATTTTTAGATATTTTCCCCATCTCCACTTTTTTGCAAAAGTTATAGAGTAATTGTTTTTTGTATCTTGAAACGGAACTGAAATAACACATGGAAACTTCTACAAATAAATGGCTGCTTCTACAATTGTCCTGAAAATTCAATCTGTTGGAAAGCTCTAAATTTAATGCTCTTATCTAGCTATCTAACTACTGTCCATTTGCTATCTCAAGGTCTACACGACAGGTAGCTTCTCTGTAAAAGAACATGGTCAGTCAACAGACTCCTGCCTGATAAGGTATCATCCTCAATAAAAGCTTAATTAAAGAGCTGCATATTGGGGAAAAGGATTGAAAGGATACACAACAGGAGACAAAGAGGCAGATAGTTCATGAAAAGGTGCCTGATGTTTATCATCAAAAATAGGTTAAATGGGCCTCCATGGTGACACAGCATGTTGAGCACAGTGCTGTGAAACTGTCTGCAGCCGCTGATTCGCTGGTTTGATTCCCTGCCAGCCGGCGAGGGTCCCACATGGCGTGGCAGACCTCTCCTGCCTCACCCGCTGCTCCCCTCAGCAGTGTACTTCGGTCCTTCTGCCTGTTCTGCTCCCTGCTCTGTCTCTGGTGAAATCTCTCACCCTCCCGTGCCTCTAGCCTGTACCCCAGTGCTTGTATGTATGTATGTATGTA